GCCCCAATCTTCTTGCTCAGTCTGTGACTCTGTCTAAGCCCAGTGCCCAAGGCCATGGAGCATGAGGGGAGGCTCACTTCTTGTTTGGAGTCTGTTCTGTTTGCTCTTTCCACCACCTCAGTGCCTACCCCAGGATTCAGACAGCCTGCAGAGCGTGACAGGCGCCTGCGGTGGGTGCAGCGTGGTGGAAGCAGACAGTGGTCACTGAGTCTATCAGCTGTGGCTCACTGGCTTTTACTGGAGGAAAGGACAATGAAGTCTTTCAGGGCAAAAGTCCATATGTATTACACCTGCTCACAATCTCTGATTTTTCTAAATTCCACTTGATCCCCTCACTAGTTTAGTCCTTCCTTTGATCCAGAAGGCTTTTCTGCTCCCTGCTTTTCCCCATTCTTGGATGTGTAAGTGCAAACAGTGTTGACGTGTTGCAGCTCAACGAGAGCTCCCAAGCACCTTGGGCTTCCAGTAAAACCAAGAACCAGGAGCAGAAGGTACTGCAGGCCCCCAGCGTTGTTTTGAGTCAAGGTATGACCTTTCATGACACCTTCATGGTGTTCATCTCCAGTCTTTCACTTGTGAGTTATGAAGTTATCAGTGACTTGTGATAGCACGGCATGTGGAGCAGGCTGATGCTACAAGGAAGGTTGCTTGTTTAGCTGTAGCTCTGCTGTCTTGGATGTGTCTGTACAGATAAAACAGCACTACATTTCCCACTAATGACAGCTCGTGTTCTGGGGACACAGCTCAGAGGATGAGCTGGTCACAATGCTCAGGAAACATGCTCAGCTCAACCTCCATTAGATGAGACTTGAGCAGGGCTGAGGTGGATGGGGACATGGTGGATATGGATGCTGGTAAATTGCACTGTGGTGAGCAAAGTCCTGATGGTCTCAAAGTATTCAGGAGTTTGGCCATTGCCTTGTCTTAGTAGAAAATACGCATTGGGACACTGGAGTTACTTGTAACTGTCCATGTCTTGTCAGCAGGTTGCTGCTGCAGAGTCACCCTCCATGTTTCTCTGACACATCCACACCACCAGGCATCAGTGTGATTTACTGTAGAGGCTCAGAGGCCAAGCTGGCATCCCATGTTGCATCTCTTGTCCCAGGGGCTAATGCCTGTCCTGAGCTACAGCACTGCAGGGCAGCAAACAGGGCATAGAGAGAGGGGAAAACAGAATAAAAGAGAGGTGTCTGGGTCTGGGTAGGGAAAGGAATTTGGAGCAGGAGCTAAGAAGGACATCTGGGAACCAGATTCTTCTCTTTGAGCCCACTGCAAGGAGCTGGCTTGGATAAACGAGAAGTGTTCTTGTTTCTCTGCTGGAAGCTCCAAAATTTGATAAGAATAGGTGATCTGGCATTGTAGAAAGAGGTGACATCTAGGGAAATCATTGTGCTTTTCATGTCTTTTAGCTTGGAAGATAGTCTTACAACCCTTTTAGAATAGTGAGGCAAAATTTGAGACCCTGCGTTGACATCTGCACTGCATGTTCTGTAATGAATGTCCCTTGGGGTGGTGTGGGGGGACCTGTGGCACTGACTGGTGTTGGGTGGAAGGATTAGCAAAAGTAAAGCAAATTTTCATCAGAGCAGTCGGTTGACAGGGCTCAGGAGCAGATTACCATCACAACTGCTCTGAGCTGCACACCAGGAATTCAGAGGCGAACAAACAAGCCAAGCAGTGAAGCTCTCTGCTGTTTTTCTGTCTTTTGACTCACAGCAGGGACTGAGCCAGGGGATAGGAGTGTAGGCGTTGCAGAAGTTCACGTGAGTGGATGGTCTCTGGTGTGAGTAATTTGTTGGACTAGGTTGGCTTATGTTTGCTTTTTGTTGAACTCACGTTGACTGAGCCAAAGATAGCATCCTTTTTCTTTTTAAACCCATTTTTCCATCTTCTGCTGGCTGAAAGAGGGGGTGCACAAGTGACATGTCTGCAACAATGCCATAAATCCAGACAGAAATAGAATTAGCAGTTCTTTCTGGTTCCGGTGTTTGTATCTGCGAGGTTGTGAGCTTAACCAGTCTGGGTTCCTCGGAGCAGAGCTGTGTCTGTGTGAACCTGTTGTGCCTTGGGACCTGGTGCTTGGGTTTTGTTCCAGAACAATATCATAAAACTTTTATAGCAGCGTCATGACAAAGAGCATGGGAAGAGAAATAACTTAACCCTCTCTTGCTGAAGTTGGTGTTGCAAATGCTTCTCCTGTTTCCCCAAATCCTTCAGCTGAATGTGGAGCACTGTGGAGAGAGAGAAGATGCAAGATCTGTGGAGATGGGGAAGAGAGAGCAAGCAGGAATCTGTCTTTGCACGGATTACCATTTCTTAAATGTCTTCAAAGTCCATTCCTGTCCCATTAGGCCCTGACACATATCAGTAGTGTTATTCGTTGGCACCTTTGTACTGCGTTGTGCCCCAGCATTTGTAGAATTGGGCTTTTAATCTATGTTGGTTATGTTTTAATTGAATAAGTAAATCTTCTACAGAGCCCCGAATCAACAGAGATGTTTCCATTCTATTTTATTTTATTTTTCTAGGTTTCCTAAGGACATTTAACTTTTACAACCTTACAACTTGTTCTGCAGTGTTTGCTAGTCAGCTATTGCATAATTGTTCTGGGGAATGAGAACCTGGGAATAATATGGCCCAGAAATGCTAAGAAGCAGAAATGAAATTGGCTGATCTTCTCATCTACCACCATCCCTTCTCTCCAGGGTCAGGGTGCCAAGAAGGTCCTGTGTGTACTCCAGGTTTATTCCTGGGCCTGCCATTCCCTTGATTTATCACTTCGCATGCTGGGGTCTTGGATGCCCTTTGCATCTCTCCTCTCCTTTCCAGGCTGACTTTTGGCTGCTTAGCTTAAAAATGTGCTGGAGTGGAGCAATCACAGTTTTTCTGTCTGGGAAGCCTGTGGCAGTTATAGGCCAACTACTGGAGGATGGAGAAAAACCAAACAAGAGCCATGAAGTGGAAAGGAAATTGTACTTTTGGAGCTATGAAAATCCAGGTGCCTACAGTTATCCAGGAGTAGGGGTCTGGGGTAATTCCTGTGAAAAATATTTCTTTTTTTTTTAACAATAGTTTGGATGGAAAGACTTTGGCTCTATAATAAAAATAGGCGAGAAGAGTTGAGTTTCTAAGTAGTTTGTAACCTGACTTTCAGCCTTTTAAATGGTGTGTTCTTGCATAAAGCACATTGGAGCTTCCATTTTCTTGTTAGTCAAGCCAATTTTATTGTAATCCAATAAAATTTAATAATCATTAGGAACTAATGAATGCCTCAGCACGTATAAGTTTGGCCAACTAACAGCCTGTCTATTTTGCATAGCCTGTCTCTCATTGACCAACTTGCCACTTATGTATCAGATTGATTACTGGGGAGTTCTGTAAAATAGGTAATGATCGAATACTCCTGAAATGAAATTTAAATAAAAACTATCTGGAACAGCCAGTGAGCCAAAGGAAAAGGCAAATTTTTGGCTTGGAAAATTGAAATAACTTGGTGAGAGTGAAGGCAAACAGAGCTGGATTGTCTGTGGGGAGGTGCTGGTATGGTCTGAACAGGCTTTGCAGTTGATATTAGGTGAGTTGTTAGGTAATTCTTTAATATTTTTATTGTTGAAGTCGTCAAGCTCTGAATGAGCTCTTCACTGAGCTCTGTGCTTGCACGTACGTGGAGAGACTCTGTCTGGGGGATTTGCAGATAAGTAAAAAATGGAAAGACAGAAGAAAATTAACTCATGTTGAGAAAAGACTTTCAATGTAATGTTTCCCTTGACTCAAGAACTTTGGTTTCTTTGCATGCCCTAATTGTGGGCTGGCTCAGTGGGGCTGGCTCCTGGTACCTACTTCCAACACTGTAGGGATCCTTAACTGGTTTTCTTAAATTTCACATTCCTGATGGAGCTGCCTAACTTCCAAAGCACTGAAAACATTAAGGAGGGTTTCCTAATCTGTACCTGCCTTTGTGCCCTGTCAGGATGTATCACTGTTGGGTTGGGCTGTACAGCACAGAGGTCCTTTCCAGAAGTTTTGGACTAGGTTAGTTGATCAAAAACAAAGCATGGGAATGAGTCCTCTTTTAAAATACTTATTCTAGCAGGGCTTGCAGTGCAGCCATTGAACAGTGGCTTGGGGATCACATGCTCTCCTGTGGTGCTGAGACCTGGGTTTTACTTTTTGAGGTGGGTGGTGGTGGTGAAGATTCATGTCTCTTCCCCTCCAAGTGAGCATCCCTTGTATCCAGCCTGGGTACAAGTGGGGCTGGGCATAAAGAAAGCATGGAGAAAGCAAAATGCATTGAATTAGAAAGGGTCCTGGCTGCATGTTGGCATTTTTCTCTGGGCTTTCCTGCATAGTAGCCTTTTCACAAGGACCTTATTTATGCTATTTTCTGACTGCTTATTGCAAATCACACCCTTCACCTTGAATCTCCTAGAAATGGATTGATCCTTTTCACTCTTCCTTGAAGGGACTCATTTTTCAGATGAAATTTGTGAAGAAGTGTTGAATCAGAGAGGCACAGTTACCAAGAATTGATTTAGAATAAGAATAGGTGCATGTGGCTGGTGGCTGGCCACTATGGCTTGCAGTTCATTTCTGTTTGTGCTTTACCTGAGGTGAGGACATGGCAGAGGAGATGCTCTTGGGATCCAGGTTCTCCAAGCCTGTCCCCAGCTCTGTTTTCCCAGATGGGTATTCTTGGTGTCCTGCCTCTTCACCTCAGCAGCGAATTGCTGAATTTCTAATCCTCCAAGTCAGTTTAACACAGTGTATTTCATTCACATTTCCCATTGTGGGAAATACATGAAGAAAAGCCCCAAAGCAGCATAAGTCCCTGTGAGATGGAGGCTTGTTGCTAGTTCTGGAGGGAACTATAGCATTTCAGCCTGTTTGTCCCTGAAACTGGAGAGTTAATTGTTGGGCATGGTGGCAGCTTTATGAGTAAGAAATCACGTACCAGGCCAAGTGGTTTGAATAACTGGAACTTTTCTTTCTTCTTTAAGGTGAATCCTGGTGGCAAGACGCTTGAAGAGAGGCGGTCCAGTCTAGATGCAGAAATTGACTCTCTGACCAGCATCCTGGCCGACCTGGAGAGCAGCTCTCCATACAAACCTCGGACTCAACAGGTTAGTGGCACGTTGCATAAACAGAGAGTGGGAAAGGGGCCAGCATTGACTTCTGGAGTCAATTTGCTAACTGCTTGGTATTTGTTGTGAGCAGGCATGCCAGTTCCTCCTGATAGCATCCAGATGTGGCTGTCAATGGGGAGAAGGGCACAGCTGCTCTGAGGGGGCACCGGCTCAAAAGCTGCCACACCTCTGAGCGAAGGGCCTCTGATCCTGATTGTTAAATTGCCACGGAGATGTTAGAGAAATACTTTCAAAATTGGCATTTCATTCTCCTCAACTTTTAACCAACAATAGCTTGTGAATTAAAACCTGCTCAGTTCACAAGTACTTTTATGCTTTTATTTTCTTGTCATTTTTCCGTTTTGTTAACTTTTATCTGTCATGCTGCCAGAAGGATCCGGATATTTGCGTCTCAAGTTGTTTTCTTTTGTTTTTTGTCATCTAATCAGTGGCGATGAAGTGGCTTGGACCATAGCTCAGCTGTCAGGGTGGCTGTAGCCCAGCAAGGCAGACAGGAATTCACACTTCTCTTCTGTGTCTAGACAAGGACTGCAGGAGTGTCAGTGGCTCGGCTAATTTTTGTCACTCATCCTAGGTAGTGCTTGAGTGGAGCTATTTAAGTTCTGGTGAGATGTCATCTATCTATCAGAGGAAGTGGTGACACTCTGGTGGCACTTTAAAAAAGGGCAATTCTTGGGATCTCATAAAATCTTATAAAATCATTCCAGATATGTTTGTGCCCAGTTGTGTGCCATCGTTCCTTCCTAATCTCATGACTGGTCTCATTTCTTACATGTCTGTAGGGATGTATGCAGCTATATATATGCTGTATTAACCTTACTAAAACACCTAAAGTCAAAAGTATCAAAGGGATAGGTGAGTGATGGGTGCACACCCGTATAAGCCTTCTCTTTGGTTTGTGGCTTTTTTTCGTTCTTTTCATTACTGCATTTCTTTTAAGTAGCTGAGAACTGATACTTTTGGAGCAGAACTAAAGTAGTGATCAGAGTCTCTTTAGAATTGCACATGTTTAAGTCTGTGAACTGAGCAAAAGCAAAGTGAAATCAGATTTGGGCACTTTTGGAAGTGTCCATCTGCCACAGAGACTCTGAGTTTCCCATCCCTTCTGCAGGGACTTCCCTATTAAACTCTTCTTTCATTCTAGCAGCATGTGCACAGTTATTGCATAAAATTACAGAATTGTGCTTGAAAAACAGTCTAATGTGGGTTAGTCAGTCAAAAAGAGCAACAATGTAAACCAGATACCATTCAGTGCTTTTCCCAGTGAGTTTTTGTTGTTGCGACAAATGAGACAAGTTCTGCTCGGGCACTGCTTTGAGTAACCCACGTTCATTCTGTTCGTGTGGGCCAAACACACACAAATGCACACTGTTACTGGGAAATGCTTTATAGTGTCGAAACACTGCGAGAGTTAACTGAAAGAGATTTGTGCAATGCCCCTGGGCAGCTCCAATATCTTTGTAGTAACTTCTGTACCCACTTCACTGAGCATTTGCAGTTTGCTGACATTGCTGACGACTGCCTCCTGATACTTCTTCCTTTGGGATCTGGGGTTCTGTGAATAGGTTGGTTTTTTCACTTTTATTTTGCACCTTTACCATTAAAAAAGATAAATAAAAAAATCACAGCACTCACATGCAAACTTCTGCAGGTGCCTTTGAGTTTCTTTAAGATTTGAAGTCATAGGCAAGTTCGGGTGTCAGCCTCCAAGATGACATATGCTGTTTGGGGCACATGCTCGTTCCCATGGCTTTTTGCCCACAGCTCAGATGGGTGCTCTGCAGACTTTTCCCTCCTTACCCAGGATGGTGAATCTCCCAGGTGCATTACACACTGTGCAATCCGGTGGGCAGAAGCTGAATTCCATCTCTGAGATCAAATCCTAATTTCTTTTGTTCAGTTTATCAGGCTTTTCAGGACTTATTGGTTAACATAGTGATGTCCTGTGAAAAGTACAGCTACAGCAACTTCTAACTTGAGCTGTTAGAGAAAGAAAATGCCGGAGTTGGATGTATCATCTGCTGTAATTAAAGGGTACTCAAACAAGTCCTTGAAAGGTGGAACTAGAACGTAAAGCTTTGATATTTTCCTTTGTTTGATCTGTACTAAGTATTAAAACTGGTGAGTCATTTGATGGTCTTATAGTAGGATAATAGATTAGGCTGCAAATTGTAAGGTACTTACTCAGAACATCAGCACATTTATTGGATTACACCTTAGCTGACCTTCCCAAATTTATCGGGTTAATGGCTGCAGATAGGAAAATAGAGTTAGGACTTGTTTTCAGAGAAGACATTTTCAGTTGTGCTTATGCAGTTAAAGCATTATAATAATTTTGTAGGAATACCTTGCCCTTGGGGATATTCCTATTCTGGAATAAGAGAAATTTTATCGTTAGGTTCCTTTTTTATATTATCTTCAAGACAGTTTTAAAGCAACATAAGCTAAATGGTAACATAGTCCTCTCTCAGTGGAGTAGGAGTGATAGCAGGGTAATGACAAGCAGTTTATTTAACATACTTTGCCCATTGGCATAAATTCACACAGAGGGAAGCTCTATTGATCTTTGGTATGAGTTCAAGATTGCAAAGAGACACACTGCACCAGGAGGTGCCTCTGACACAGAGGGATGTGTGCCCTCTGCAGTAGGTCTGGAAAGTCCTCAATGTTTCTCAAAATGGGTGGGCCAATGCCAACCCCAGACAATGTCCCTTAGCCAGCAGGTCTGCTGTTGAGGACATGGATGAGTATGCATCTCTGCACCATCCCTGCATTGCTTATCTCTAAAAACGTTTTTTGTATCCTGGGTAGGTGACAAGGACACTTCCATGAGCTAAAAATGACCAGGGAGAGAATTTGGACACCTGTGGTCAGCAGTGCCCTCCTTGTACTTGGTGGTCCTGCCTAACTCAAGGCAGCTGAATTGGAAAGCAAAGGTAGCTGATGACTGCTTCCCATGCCTTGGGCAGAGGAGGTGGGATGTTGCTGCACTGCAGAACTGTGTTGCCCTCTCCTCTGAAGTGATGAGTTTGAAGAGCATTTTCTCAACATGGATCCTTTATGGAGCAGAAAAGGCCTTTCCTTCACATAGCAGCAGGGTTGGTGGGAGAGGATCCTTCTGCAAGTTGGGTATCCCAGCAGGAGTCAACCTCAATGTCTCTAAACCTCAAAGTGAAAGATTGTCTCAGGCTTCATGTTTGGAAAGTTCTTCTCTCTATCTTGAGGCAGTTGTTGAGAGAGCCCCCTGCAGTAGAGGTTTTTTAGCCACTGAGTTTACTTCATATTGGCCATCAATAACATGTGGGTAACTTTCAATCACTATAACCTCAGAGCCAGGCTGAGTCCATGTCTTGCAAGTGAAAGTCTCTCTGAATCACAGAACCAGTCAGAAGTGATTAAAATGCAGGCTTTACCTTTCAAAATTGCACATCTCTAAAAGCAGGGAAAATTACAAGGCTAAATCATCATCTTTAGCCTCAACACAACAGTATCTGAGGATGTTTTCTGTCATGTGAGGTGGTGTAGGAGAGACTGTATTCAAAGAGTTCAACTTGAACTGAAGTTTTAGAAAGGACCTGTGTGACCTTCACTGTCATGACGAGTTCCAGCCCTCTGGTACAGTGAATTGAAATGGAGAAGATGACCAAGATGATCTCAAAATTACCATGACTGCAATGTCATGTGAGATTTAGCTTGCCTTGGGTATTGTTTGAAGACCTGCAGATGCATTATGAAAAAAAAATCTAATTAATATTTTCCTCCCGCTTGGTAAAGCTTGGAAGTGCTAGTGTGATGAGTAAAGCACAGAGCTCCTCTTGTGTAGCTGCAGTGTGTTTCTGTGTACATATCACACCTTCTGAATTGCAGTAACGCATTGAAAAGTTCAGGGGCAGAGAACCCACTGTGTCTTTCATTAGTAAAAGGAGGCATTAGTAAAAGACAAGACATTAGGTGCATAACTTTCATGGATGGAACAGGGGCTAGTCCTAAATTGTCTGAACCCCTGTGTAGAGGCCTGGTGAATGCTATGGTCATGGGGCTCCTCTCTTAAATGGTATTTTTATCCCAGATTTTACCTGTTCTGCTTAAATCCTTGCTTAAGAGATCAGTGCAGCAAGACCTTAAGAAAAAAAAAAAAAAAATTTCAGCCCATAAAATAAATGTTTGCATTTTTTGAAAAACAAGAAAACTTTGTGGCTCAGGAGAAAGGGCTTCCAGCAGAGACTGTGAAAATGAAATACTGGAAATAGCAGCACACGTAAGCTCAGGATTTTTTGTCCCTGCTGTGAATTATGTATTGAATGCTGATTGCTTTGTCTGGAATTGGACACCTACCTTCTGAAACTCTTGAGTTTTATCCTGAATTTCCAACAGAATATCTGTTTGGCAAAATAGCACTTTGTGGGAGGTGTACCAAGTAATGAGATGTACCTGGTCTGAAGGTATTTAATATTTTTTTAAAAGCAAATACTGTGTTGCCAATATTTGTGATGTATTTAAATAGCAAAAAAACTTTCTTGACCACCCGTCATGGTCAAGATGAAATTTATTTGTGTACAGTTCTCAGAGGCAGCTTGATCTGGAGGTATCTGGGCTGGCACTCTGGAGACCTGTGTCATTCCCAGCTACCACCACTGTGTTAAATTACCTTAAACGTAGCATTTCCTCATTGCTTCCTCTCAAAATCTCTTCTGTAGCCTGGGAACCTCTTCAGTGTGATTTGCCTCTTACTACCCATGTGTATGGCATGTAGCAGTGTGGAACCATGGTCTGGGTTGAAGGTGATGTGGTTGTACAAATAGTGGAAAAGAGAAAGAAATTATTTTTTTCATCTAACAGATGGGGAAAATCAAGGCAGAGTTAGGCAAGATACCTGAAGGTTCATGCCTCTATCCCTGCCTCTGTGTCATTGCCCCTAGTACTAGACATCTGCCACTATCCAACACTGTCAACTGAAGTGAGCAATATTTTGAAGG